CTACCTGCAATTAACTTGTTTCTGGTTCTTCCCTGTTGGATATTTTTGTTGTTGTTGCACTGGTATTTTATTTTATTCTTGTCTACGTTTTCTGTTTTTTTTTTTTTTTTCGAAGACAGCTGAGTGCAATTGCAAGCAAACTTGAACCACTTTTTTCATTAAACTTTTTATATTTTCGTTGGTGTGCATTTGCTTGGCTCATGGACTTTGCAACAGATTCTTAAATTGCACAGTGGGACAAAATGGGGGGGGGAAATTTAAAAAATTTTTGCTGAGTGAAGGTCTTAAGAGGAAATTTATAGAAACTTTTGCTCATCCGATGTCCAGGACAGAGGGACAAAATTGGTGATTTAACCACCCCCTCCCCCCAAATTTTACAGAACTCGTAAATATTATCGACTTGCAAGTGCCCGCTACTTCATCTGCAAAAAGTTCAATTTTAGATTCGCTGAGTGGAGGTCTTAAGAGGGAATTTATAGAAACTCTTGCTCATCCGATGTCCAGGACAGAGGGTCGAAATTGGTGATTTAACCATCCCCTACTCCCAAATTTTACAGAACTCGGAAATATAGTCGACTTGCAAGTGGCCGCTACTTCATCAGCAAAAAGTTCAATTTTAAATTCGTTTGAACTGTTTGCGTTAGCCATTTTAGTAGCCCAATTTGTCTGTCCAGAACTAGTTTAACGTCTCCATATGTAAACTGTAGAAACCAAGGTTACTCTTGGTTAATACTAAATTTTCGATTTTCATCTCTACCCAACACTCAATGGCACATTTTGCACTTTTCGTACGTTAGTACGCATTTCCAAAACCACCTAGTTTTCTCAACTACAGACACTCACAGTGACATTCATACCAAATTTCAGGATTTCAGCTCTATTCCTTCACGCAATAACAGATTCAGTACTGTTTAGTACTTTTCGTGCAATTATAACACACATTTCCCAAAACCACCTCCATATCTCAAATCCAGATACCAACAGAGACCTCAATATCAAATTTGAGGATTCCAGCCATAGCCTTCCAACCAATACCAAATTTCACACCATTTAGTATTTTCGTACAAATATAGGACACATATGGTTCCAAATATAGTACCAAATGGTTCCAAATATAGTACTATTTAAAACTATTCGTATAATTATAGTACATATATCCAAAACTAGCTCCAACTTTCAATTCTAGACTCCAACAGTGACATCCATTTAAAATATCAGGATTTCAGCTCTATTCCTTCACTCAATATCAGATCTAGTACCATTTAGTACTTTTTTTTACAATTATAAACACATTTCCCAAAACCACCTCCATATCTCAATTCCAGATACCAACAGAGACCTCAATATCAAATTTGAGGATTTCAGCCATACCCTTCCACCCAATACCAAATTTCGCACCATTCAGTATTTTCATACACATAATTTCACAATTTTATCTATTCCTTCATCCAATACCAAATTTAGTACTTTTCGTACAATGATTGTACACATCTGCGAAACCACCCCCATATGTCCAGGCTACACATGAACAGCGACCCCAATACCAAATGTTCGTTTTCAAGCATTGTCGGTTCACCCAATACCAAATGGTGCCAAATTTAGAACTACTTAAAATTATTCGTATAATTATAGTACGTATATCCAATTCGTAGTACGTATATTCAATTCCCGACACCAACTGTGACATCCATTTAAAATTTCAGGGTTTCAGCTCTATTCCTTCAATCAATACCAGATTTTGTACCACTTAGTACTTTTCGTGCAATTATAGTACACATTTCCAAAACCACCTCCATATCTCAATTCCAGACACCAACAGTGACCTCAATATCAAATTTGAGGATTTCAGCCATATCCTTCACCCAATACTAAATTTCGCACTATTTAGTACTTTTCGTACAAATATAGGACACATAAAAAATTTAAATACCAAATTTCACAATTTTATCTATTCCTTCATCCAATACCAAATTAAGTATCATTTAGTTTCGTACAATGATTGTACACATCTCCGAAACCACGCCCATATGTCCAGGCTACACATGAACAGCGACCCCAATACCAAATGGTCGTTTTCAAGCACTATCGGTTCACCCGATAGCACCAAATGGTGCCAAATATAGTACTATTTAAAACTTTTCGTATAATTATAGTACGTATATTCAAAACTAGCTCCAAATTTCAATTCCAGACACCAACAGTGACATCCATTTAAAAATTTCAGGATTTCAGCTCTATTCCTTCACTTAATACCAGATTTAGTACCACTTTGTACTTTTCCTACAATTATACGACACATTTCCAAAACCACCTCCATATCTCAATTCCAGACACCAACAGTGACATCCATATTAAATTTCAGGATTTCAGCCCTATTCCTTAACTCAATACAAGAATTAGTACTTTTCGTACAATTATAGACACATTTCAGTATCGAGACTTTAGTATCGAATTTGATGATTCCAGTCGTATCATTTCACAACGAATTTCATATTTTACTGATCGGATCCATAATACCAAATGGTACCATTTTAAACATTTTTAGTACCATTTTGGAACTTTTCGGTAACCTTAAAGTTCGAATTTCTAAAAATTCTTCGGCACATCTATCCTGCACTCCAGCAGTGACTTTCATGCTAAATTTCCGAATTATAGTTCATTACGTTCTATTTTAGTACTTTTCGTTCAATTTTAGTACTTTTCGTTCAATTTTAGTACGAAATTCCAAAAAAAAAAAAAAAAAAAAACAATTCGTACGCACCAATTCATACTTCAAACTTATGTTACTACCTTGATTCTTAAACCAAATTTCAAGTTTTTAGCCATACCCACACGTTCACATAATTCCAAATGGTACCATTTTAGAAGTTTAGTACCATTTTAGAACTTTTCGTTACCTTAAAATTTGAATTTCAAATGATTCTTCGGTACATCTATCCTTCACTTCAATAGTGACTTTCATTCCAAATTTCATAATTTCAGCTCATTCCGTTCTATTTTCCTTCCGATACTCGGTATTTTTTATGATTTGTGCGACATTATTCACCGGAATTGTTTCAAATGTGGTATTTGAAATTCGTACTGGATACTACAGCCTATGACAAAAAAATTTCGTAAGCAGGTCCACGTCTTCGTATAGTCTCCATATAAGAGTTTTAATTTAAATGGTAGGTTTTTTTTTTTTTTTTTTTTTTTTTTTTTTTTTTTTTTTTTTTTTTTTTTTTGAAAAATTTCAAGTTCCTTCCAAACGGTGGAGGGCATTAAAAGTTCGGCCCGTCTTGTTTTAATTTTACCCTACCACCACCACAAGGTGGTCAGGGTATTATGTATTTTTGCATTTGTTTGTAGCAGGCAAAAGGAAACGAGATAGACCCATAGTTTCTTTTGATGATCTGCATAGAATCACATTCTGAGCCGATTTATGCATGTCCGACCGTCTGTCCATGTATTTTTGTAAACAAAGTGCAGTTCGATGATGAAATTTTGCACAAATCATTTGTTTGGCCCAAGGACGAACCCTATTGAAATTGGAGATGATCGGTCAAAATTTAGATTTAGCTCTCATATATATCTTCGTCCGATTTGCCTTTTATTGTGCACCAAACGTGTAATATCAGCCATATCACATAACACATACAACCAAATTCGGCCTGAAAATAAGTATGCCAAATTTGATCGAAATCGGTTCAGATATAGCTATAGCTCCCATATATATTGTTCATCCGATTTGCTATTTTGGTCCTCCGCAGTCGTAATATGCACTCTGTAACAACAATATTTGGGGAAATATATCAAATACAGCTCAGAAATTTCTTTGCCAAATTTTATCGAGATCGGTTTCTATTTGGATATAGCTCCCGTATATAACTTTGTCCGATTTTCATTTTATAGTGCACCAAACGTCTAATATTTGTCCAAATGGGATGGAATTTGGCACTTACGACCGAATTGAGTCTAGAAGCTAGTATGCGAAATTTGGTTTGAAAATAAGTACACCAAATTTGATCGAAATCGGTTCAGATATAGCTATAGCTCCCATATATATAGTGTTCATCCGATTTGTTATTTTAGTCCACCGCAGCCGTAATATGCACTCTATAACAACAATATTTGGGGAAATATATCAAATACAGGCCAGAAATACATTTGCTAAATTTTATCTAGATCGGTTCCATTTTGGATATAGCTCCCAAATATAACTTCGTCCGATTTACCTTTTATTGTGCACCAAACGTCTAATATTTGACCAAATGGGATGGAATTTAGCACTTACAACCGAATTGAATCTAGAAGCTAGTATGTCAAATTTTGTGAAGATCGGTTCAGATATAGCTATAGCTCCCATATATAATGTTCATCCAATACAAGTCCGAATTTAAAAGATACAAATGCTTCGGCATATTTAGTCTTTTGAACTTTAAATTACAATTATGATCATAACGTGTGTGATTAAATTCTCCCATAAAATCGTTTAATTGTTATGTTGAGCTCTACTAAATTAGCAAAGAGCTGTAGGGTATCATAAAGTCGATCCCGCCTGACTTTAGGACTTTCTTAACTGGATTTTTTTAAATTTTAAATTTCGACCCGGCCTGTTTTAATTTTTTTATTAATTTTAAATATCCTTCCATTTTTTTGATCTCCTGTTCTTATATCTCTTTGAGTTTTTGAAAAAGTGCGCATCAATTTCGCCTTTTCCCCTTTTTTGGTAGAGAAATGCATTCCCCCCTCTTGTGTTCTTTATAAATGAATGGAACGAATGAAGTTGTATGACTTCATTGATTCAAAAGCCTGTTTGTTTTTCTTAACCCTGATTGAATTTCTTCCTGCCATTTGTTTTGTTTTTGTTTTTTTTTTTTTTTACTTCTTGAATAATCTTTTATCCTCATCTTCTCTGCTTCCTTTTTTCCTTTACCCCTCAAATGGCTTATAACTTTAATTTCTTAATAATCCCAATTTTTTCATGTTTTCCTGTTTCTCGTTTTTTTCGTCTTTTGCAGCACTGACGGTTCCGAATCGCCCACATTGGCTGAATCCGATGCAGATGGTCACGATAAGCCACGCGTTAAATATGGCGAATTAGTTATATTGGGGTAAGTAAAGTTGATTATTTTTTTCAAGTTAAGATTTAATGAAGAAAATTTACTGAAAGTTTGGTTAACAAAAATATATGAAAAAGTGTTAATGTATCATTAACCCCTTGGGGGGAGGTTTTTATGATCCAAACATCATCAGAATATTTTGTCAGTGGTTATTTATAATTTTTCTGAAAAATGGTTAATTACCGGTTTTGAAAAAAGTTGATCGCTAATGGTTTTTGAAAACATATTTGGAAATGTGGTTAAAGTTACCCAATGAACAAAGCCATAGTTCTATCACTGGGTCAGTTAATTTTTGGTAATTGAATTAAACCACCTATTTCTACTAAACGGAATCCTAAAATGTATGTAGGTTATGAAGCTCATATTACGGTTCATATTTTATGAAGATAATATCTCATTAGGATGTGGCCGGATGTTGCGGTTTAAACAAAAAGTAAACAGCTATTATTAAAAACATCTTTTATGGTTAAAGCCGTACTATGTGTGAGTTTGGGCAAAAATCTCCAACAAATCATCATTTTAGAGGGTCGACGTGAAAGATAAAAATATTCTTCATCAAATTTTACCATAAGTCACCAAAGAGAAGAAATCTCTATTTCCATTGTATGCCAAAATATTTTTGCATCAATATTTCGAAAAAAAAAAACCAAAAGAAATGGTTCGTAAATTAAAGAAGCGACTTCATCTGATCGAAACCCGCGTCGCAGTGGCCGAAAAATGGCTCGTGAACTGAAAAAATGGATCCATTCGGCAAATTTTGAAAAATGAGCTCGGGGTGAAGCCATTGAAATTCCAAAAAGTACAAGAACTTACACCGCACCAGAAAGAAAATAGACTCAAAAGAGCTTAAGAGTTGCTTCGTTTGGCCGTAAGTGGTGAACTGTCGAATTTTGTTTTCTCCATCTCCGATGAGAAAACATTCGATGTCCAGCAGTTTTTATACCCTACAACACTATGTGTTGGGGGTATTATAAGTTTGATTGGGCCAGAATTTATGTAACACCTCGAAATATTGGTTTCCCATATAGGAAAGTATATATGGATCTTCCTAGCTCGCCGAGCTGAGTCGATCTAGCTATGTATGTCCGTCCGTCCGTCTGTCCGTCTGTCCGTCTGTCCGTCTGTCCATGTTAATTTGTAATCACTCTACAGGTCGCAATTATGGCCCGATCTTCACGAAATTTAAAATGTAGGTGGGGTTAATGTCACAATAGAACCCTATTTCTTTTGGAGATGATCGCCAAATGTTTAGGGGTTGAAATGGACCAAATACTGAAAAAATGTCGTATTTTGCAGTAGCTATACAGGTCGCAATTATAGACCAATCGACGCGGAATTTCGCATGTAGCTAGAGTTTAGGACGGGGAAGAAGCCTACCAATTTGGATGGTCATCGGATAATAATTAGCGGCTAAAATAGACCATATCTTTTTTGTTGAAAAAATTCAAAATTTTTCATTAAACCGCGAATATTTTAAATCCCGGCGAAACCACAAAGCCATGACAAGGTTACTTCTGATCTTTACATTGATGTTAAGATCCAACAAATCGAATATATAGCAAAATATGTGCGATATATATGTCTATCAAAGAAGATATGCTTGAAAGATCTATTTTATGTCGAGAACGGCTTAACTGATTTCGACAGTTCTCATTAATTCAGAATGGCCTCTTGGCAGGAAAGAAAAAACGCCTAAAATATCGCATAAAAAACATCTCTCTGAAGATGAAAATATTGATTTTGTAAATTTTCTCATGTTTTTTCAATTTTGTCATATTTTTGGCATATTTTCATTTTGAATTAAACATTTGGTAATATTTCTACAGCTAACAAAACTAAGTAGTTAGGATATCAATATATCATATACAGATCGCATTTATGGCCCGATCCTTACAAAATTTTGCATGGGGATAAGATGAGGGTCAGAATAGAAGCCTACTCTTTTTGGAGATGATCGCCATATATTTAGGGGTTGAAATGGACCAAAAAAACTGCAAAATTGTCAGCCGGTCGTAATTATCGCCAGATCCTCAGGCATATTTGTATGGGGGTTACCGGACATTGCAAAAGCCAAGCAATTTTGGATGGCCATCCAAAAATATTCACTGTGTGAAATAGTTTGCCAACTTTTGTCGACAAAATACGAAAATGTCCATTACGGTGACTTCTTGGAGAATTCACAAATACAGGAAAGACGCACTTCTGACTATTTCATTAACGCTGATTTCATTGAAGAATATAGTCAAATGTCTGTATCTCATATAGATGCGTTTCAGTCAAAAACCAATAATAAATGTTAATGTTTTGCCACTTCTGAGAGATTATGGGTCTTTGAGAAATATTGGTTCCAGATCTAGGAAGACCATTTACGTGCAACATCTACCAATAAATTGGAAATGGGCAAATTAGTTTAAGTTGCTATTATTCGAAAATTAGAGAACGAAACCTGATGGTTTTCTTTTATTATTTGTCACAATATCTTGTGGAATTCTTTCGAGTATCTCGCCTATATAAACTGTATCGTTTATTGTAGTGTTGTAGGGTATTCAACGGTCGGCCCCGCTCGACTGTAGCCTTTGCTTACTTGTTTAAACAAACAAAATGATCGTGTTTACTTGCCAAAGAGGTCAGCTGAAAATGTGCACCTTTGGTTGGCCACCAGAACTCAAGCGTCGGCCATGGTGATGGTGTGGGCCGCAATAACAGCCGACCGTCGACCGTGGCATCTGAATAAATGCCGAATATTATCGCGAAAATATTCTGGAGGGTGTATAAAAGCTTTGGGCACGCAAACATTTTGACCGCAGAACTTGGACATTCCAACAGGACTCAGCACCATCGCACTCAGCCTGCACCACCCAAGAATGGTTACAAAATGATTTTCCTCGCTTCATTTCCAGCTCACAATGGCCACCAAAATCTCCAGATACCAATCCGCAAGCCAGCGCTTCGCCGGGAATGGACCAAAATACCGCAGAGCAACATTCAGGCACCGTGTGACGGTTTCATTGGCCTTTTGAAAGCCATAATTCATGCCAAAGGTGACCAAATCGAACAAATTTAAACTTATTCTAACATTTGATGCTATTTCCGACATTTTTTGCTATCATCCAAATTTACCTTAGCCACAGAAGGTTTTAAAACCTGGGAAAAGTACTTTGAGATCTTCAAGACCTGATGGATTCTTTTAATGGTATTCTTTCCAAAAAAAAAAAAAGGAAATAAAAAGAACTTCCTCCGTTAAACGATCGCTATATTATAGCCGGTTTCCCTAGATTACTTCCCATCGCAAACAAGAGCCCTAAAGAAACTTCAGAATCTAAAGAAACTTCAGAAAGGGTATCTGAAGCTCATTTAGAAGTTATTGCAAATATACAAAGGAGCTTCTTCATCTTTAAAACAATTAAAAACCTTTGAGAAGCGTTCTACTACAAAAAAAAACCTCTAGCGCAGGTCTTTATACTTTAGAAAAACTTCTAAAAATGTTTGACCTATAAATGACATCTGGAATATCTCCTCTAATGAAAGAACTCTGTTCGGTATTTTATATGCACAAAATTTAGAGGTGATCTTCTTTACATAGAAGACCTTTGAAAGCCTCTCCATCTATAGTAGTCCTTTGAAAGGTTTTTTTCTTTATAGAATGTCTTCAGAAGGTCCTTTGGAAGATTTTCTTCCTCTATCGACCTCTCTTAGGTCACCTAGCTATAAGACCTCTAGAATGCTTTCTCTATTTGGAAAATATCTAGAAGATATTCAGTATATAGTCCGTTAAAAAATCTGTTAAAATTTTAAAAATGCCGAATGTAGCCATTGTATTAGACGACGTGGACCTGCATAGGCATACGCCATTACAATATTCAAATGCAAAAATTGAAAAAAAAATCGCTGAATAATGTAGCTAAAATCATCAATATAGGGGGGTGCCATTATATGGGGGCTATACCAACATGTGGACCTGCACAGACAATTTTCTGTCGTAAGCTGTAGTATCCATTACGAACTTGAAATGCCAAATTTAAAACAATTCGGGTGAATAATGTTGCTTAAATCATCAAAATACCGAATATATAGAGGTAATATTATAAGGGGGCTATACCAAAACGTGGACCTACACAGATAATTTTCTGTCATATGCTGTAGCATCCACTACGAACTTCAAATACCAAATTTGAAACAATTCCGGTGAATAATGTCATCAAAATACCGAATATCGGGAGGTACCTTTATATGGGGGCTATACGAAGACTTGGACTTGCACAGCAATTTCCTGTCTTAGGTTTTAGCATCCATTACGAACTTCAAATACCAAATTTGAAACAATTCCGGTGAATAATGTCGCTAAAATCATCAAAATACCGAATATCGGGAGGTACCGTTATATGGGGGTTATACGAAGACTTGTACCTGCACAGGCAATTTTCTTTCATAGGCTGTAGTACCCATTACCAAATTTGAAAGAATTCCGGTAAATAATGTTGCTGAAATCATCAAAATACCGAAAATAGGGAGGTACCGTTATATGGGGGTTATACGAAGACGTGGACCTGCTCAGGTAATTTTCTGTCATAGGCTATAGTATCCATTACGAACTTCAATAATTAATTATAATTCAATAATTCGGAAATAATTATTTTTTTCTATGGTCTACTGAAATTGATCTTCAAACAGGCTAATGAACACTAAGACAAGTAGGAGGAGGAGTTTCTATACTTTGGAATATCTTAGATAGAAATTCTTTCTGAAAGTAATCTGTGCATGGAATACCCATAGAATGACATCAAGGTATGATCAACGTGTTTTTATACCTTAAGTGTTTCTAGCGATAGAATACCTGATTAAGGCCTCCCTTGATGTTGAATTATCTCTACCCATCTTCATTTCTTCAGTCATTTTCAGTAAAGTCAGTAAAGTCATTGATCTTTTTTTTCTTTCTTAATATTGCCTCGATGGAAGACCGACTCCGACAGACCAACATCGCGGCTTTATTG